CTAAAAGAATGATCATTATTCTTGATTCTAATAAATTTGGAGAAATGATAAAATAAATAACCAACCGGAATATATATTTCATGTCATTAGCTAAATAAGGATTTGGGAGATTTTTTAAAATCTAATGTGACATAAAAAATTAAAGAAAATATTGAAACATTAATTTAATATTGGAAAAGGAAATTTTGAACTAATATAAAACGTTTTAATTTTCGTGTAAGAAATTTTGTGTGACCCGCTATTTCCATGTTTGTATATGGGCACTTCCAAAATGTCGCTCGGGACATTTGCACACCTTTAAAGTTGAAAAAAAATTGTAAAACAATGGATTTTAATTTTAATTATGGGTTTTTCTTTTCACTCTTCCCAAGCTATATTTTTGGTAAAAATCTTAATTTTGTACCACTTTCAGTTTTTAAGATATCGGTAAAAAACTGCCGTATTCGCTCGGGACAAAAATAGAAGTGGATTTCGAGGAAGTTCATACAACACCAGAAATTAGCAAATTCTGATGGAATATGTGAATGCGATTTTTTTTAGAATGTTGTTCAAACATGTCGCTGTGAAATACTTTTGGTTTTAGTCAAAAATTCTTTGCCGTTTTTTTTTTTATGCAGTTTCAACCACATTCGCTCGGGACATTTTTTCCGACTGTTTTGTAAAGCGGATTTCTTTACCTCTAGGGGGATTCCCTAAACTGTTGAATTGCTGAATTGTTGAAAATTCAACAAAAAATTTCAGCAATTAAGGGAACGACCCAAAACGGTTCCTGTTGAATTTTCAAACAGCTGTTATTTGTTGAAAAATTTCACGGAACTTAAAGCATGTAAAATTTGATTTATTATTGCTAGTTACTCTCTAAAAGTGTTACCAAGGTAAAAAGAACCACAAATATGCTTTCAAAGTTTATTTTAAAATAAATAATGCGTACTGGTGATACTAAAATGTTACAGAGTTGCCACGACTTTTAAAAAAAGGTGACAACTCTGGCTTTTCAGCAATTCAACAAAATTTTCAACAGCCCCGAGGCTGATGAATTGCTGAAATTTCTGAAAGTTGGCTTTGTATGGAACAGCTGATTAACAGCTGACCAAAATTCAACAATTCAGCAATTCAACAGTTTAGGGAATCCCCCTTCTATCTCTCAAGTGCAGGATGTTTTGCTTTTAACTTAATAGTTTAGCATGTGAATGAAGCATTCAGTACAGAAAAATGTCCCATATTAGCATTAGTATAGGATAAATTTACAACAGAAGACAGGTCCAAATAATAACAAAAAAATAGCCAAAAACTTATTTTTGCGTATATTGGTGGGGTTTTTTTATAAAAATAATCAAACTATACTCCAAATTTGTAGTTAAGCTCAGTATCCAACTAATTAGAAACTAATATCGGGGCAAAATCATGTGGAAATATGTTTTATTCAAGTTTCAAGGTTTTTGGCTTGGTGGACTTTTTTTTGGAAGTGCCCATATCTTTAAACTGCATGGCACTTCCTTTGGAAAACCTAAATACATAAATTTCAGAGACTTTTTGAAATACCAATTCCAAAAGTTTTGAATCGCACTGCTATTCATGTGACCGTCAGTGTAGGTGTGTTCTGTTTCATTTGTGGTACCTGTGAAAAGTACCCAGTACCAGGTGTGTCCGTGGGTAAATCCTCTGGAAAACCACCCAGGAGCTCTTGAAAGGTTTCCTTCTCACCTTATCCGATACAGGAGCCTCGGAAGCACTGGACACGGAAGATCCGGCCAATGATGAGGCCGCCGCTCCCTCGTCGGCTGAGGAATCCTTGGCGTCGCCCCGCTTCAGGGCGTACCGGTAGCCCACGAAGAAGGACAGCATCACAGCCAGGCCATTTATGATCTGGGTCGAGTCCAGCAGTTTGTCGCCCATGTCGAACAATTTATTTCCTAAATATTTCGCGAGAAAACGCAACCGATGGCGCTCACTTCACGTTTCCGGATGCGGTCACACCAAGTGTGGATTTAGCTACGGTCTTACTAATGGAGATGGCATTCGTAGTTATTAATTGTGATGTCTGGCAGTGCTGGCTACAGAGGGGGCATTCTGTAGTTGTATTTCCCTCATATATTCGATGGAGCCGATAGTATCGTTTATTTATAAATTTTTTTAAAATATATTTTGGTTGTTTTTTATTTAATCAACTACGTTTTTCTTTAAGAAATCTTAGGTTTTAAAATAATGGAGGTTTAAAAATAATTGATTTTCAATCAAATATCGGTAGATATTCCACATCCAATCTGTCATTTCAAGTCCGTTTCAGATCTTGGTTAAGGGGCATCAAAAGGGGGATTCCCTAAACTGTTGAATTGCTGAATTGTTGAATTTTGGTCAGCTGTTAATCAGCTGTTCCATACAAAGTCAACTTTCAGAAATTTCAGCAATTCATCAGCCTCGGGGCTGCTGAAAATTTTGTTGAATTGCTGAAAAGCCAGAGTTGCCACCTTTTTTAAAAGTCGTGGCAACTCTGTAACATTTTAGTATCACCAGTACGCATTATTTATTTTAAAATCAACTTAGAAAGCATATTTGTGGTTCTTTTTACCTTGGTAACACTTTTAGACAGTAACTAGCAATAATAAATCAAATTTTACATGCCTTAAGTTCCGTGAAACTTTTCAAGAAATAACAGCTGTTTGAAAATTCAACAGGAACCATTTTGGGTCGTTCCCTTAATTGCTGAAATTTTTTGTTGAATTTTCAACAATTCAGCAATTCAACAGTTTAGGGAATCCCCCTAAAATAAATAAATAATGACAAATTCACACGTATTTTCTACTTACTATCGGAAAAAATTAAAACCATATTCGATGTATCGATACTATCGCATGGTTGCCCCAGCTCTAATCACTATGCCACATACGTGTATGTAATTTTCTGTCTTCGTGGACGAAGCCGAGGAGTTTTGTTAAAGCGCCGTTTAATTGCATTTAGATAGGTTAATATCCTCTTCAAGGACCCCTAACACACAGCCGCAGCCATGGGCGTAGCCAGTATGTTGCAGATCGACGAGATGCTGGGCGACTTCAACAGAATGAACAAGCGTCAGGTGAGCGGCGCCGCTTTTCCGGCCATATGCACATATATAGCATCCTGACCCGGATTATCTCCTCCCGCAGTCGCTGTACCAGGTGCTGAGCTTCGCCATGATCGTCTCCTCGGCGCTGATGATCTGGAAGGGCCTGATGGTGGTCACCGGCAGCGAGTCCCCGATTGTGGTGGTGCTCAGTGGCAGCATGGAGCCGGCTTTCCACCGCGGCGACCTCCTCTTCCTCACCAACTACAAGGAGGAGCCGGTGCGCGTCGGCGAGATCGTCGTCTTCAAGGTGGAGGGCAGGGACATACCCATAGTTCACCGCGTCATCAAGCTGCACGAGAAGTGAGTGTCCCAAGGATGCGGGTTGAGAATCCCAGTAGGGTCTTCAAGACTGATAGTTAAATTCCATTATGCGCCAAAAAGCCCTTAAGGATAAATACCTAGGTAATGGATGATTTATCCCTGTGCAGGTGGTACCGCTGAGGGCTTTGTATTATTGACAGGATTGTTCCGAAAGTCACGTTTTGGTTTAACAAATATTCCTGGAACATTTAACTAAATTTTCGAATGACTTTGTTGCCAAAACGATCATTCCACATACCCGCAGAGGTTATTATAGAAGTCAGAAGTGTGCAATTCAACTATATTTCTAATCCCCACCAACAGTCATGTCCGTCTTTCTGTTTTTACGCGAACTGGAGGCTAGATAGATGAATAGATGTATATTTTGATGATACATAAATGCTTGATTGTTAAAACATCAGAAAAGCGATGTTTTCTACACCTCTAGTGCCGAAGGTAACTTCATAGTACTGATATAGATGCTTAAGATCTAGTAATTCAAAGGATTCCTCGATGAATGGTTTTAATTTAGATAAATATGAGCAAGTTGTACAACCGGTAGTCCTTTTTACCGAGTGTGAGTATTTCTCTATGTATAGAAAACAATTTAAATTTTGGTTCGTTTTATTTTTAGTTTTTGGACCATTTTATAGTAAGGGCTAGTACTCAACCCAACAAAAAGTCGTCCAAAACAAAAAACTTCATATGAAAATAACGTCAAAAAATTTTGTTTCATATGAAGTTTTTTGTTTTGGACGACTTTTTGTTGGGTTGAGTACTAGCCCTAACAAGCTAGAATTTATATACACATAACTGACGCTTGACCTTGACAAAGTAAAAAGGTAGGTGTAGAAACCATCCAACCAAAACCGTGGGTGTCACAGATGACGATACAGTTTTTTAGTAAAAGTTTCAAAGTAAATTTATTGAGAGCATTTAATTTAAAGCCTACTATTTGGATTTCAAATCGTATATTTGGTTTTGGAACGGTTTCTGTGACTCCGAGACTTGCTTTTATTAGGAAATTTGGTTAGAAGAGATTTCTGTTATATCCGTGATTGTAATATTTTAAAGGAACTACATGCCGCACTATAAATCTATTTGTTTTAAGAACCTAATGGAACTCCCGCCTACTACTACAAATTTTTTAGATACTGAATTGGTCAATAATCTTCATTTCCTTCGACAGGGAGGATGGCTCCGTCAAGTTCCTGACCAAGGGCGACAACAACAACGTGGATGATCGGGGTCTGTATGCGCCTAACCAACTGTGGTTGACCAAAAAGGACATTGTGGGCCGGGCCAGGGGCTTCCTGCCTTATGTGGGCATCATCACGATCTTCATGAACGAGTATCCCAAAGTGAAGGTAAGCCGATCGACACTGTCTTACTTTCTTCTTAATAATTCCTGAATTTCCTTTCATTTTTCAGTGGGCCATCCTCTCCATACTGGCCATTTTCGTGCTGCTGCATCGGGAATAACGGGGTTCGCTCTTAATTTGTAGGTACAATTTATAAGTAGGAAGTGCACAATCTCGAGCCTGTCTGCATTTTCCAATTCCTTACCACCCCGAACAGAAAGACCTTTGTGCGGAGCTGAGTTTCAATAAAGATACAAGTAACAATTTTTAATAGCTATCTGATTTTTCAAACTTGAGGAGCTGTTGCTTGAGGGCTGCGCCCCAGTGGTACTTAGATGCTCCGTTTTGGGACACAATCCGGTGGCAAGGAATGAGGATGGATACCTCGTTTTTGGCCACGGCATTGGCCACCGCTCTGATCGCTGTTGGACGACCCATTCGCTCGGCCAGTTGGGAATAGGTGCAGGTCTCGCCACTCTTCAGATCCACAAGAGCTCGCCAAACGGAGAGCTGAAATTCGGAGCCCAGGATGGCAACTGGAATCGCCTCAGAGTTCTCCTTGTCGGGCCCAAAGAGTTTATCTGCCACCAACTGGATCCTGGCGTCGTCCTTACAGAGATCCGACTTTGGCCATCGCTTCCGCACTTCATCATATGTTTTTGCAACGTTTTCATCGATAAAATAAAGCACACAAATTGCGACTTGGTCTTTCGAGTCCACGGTGAATGGCACAGTGGTAGTGCCCATCATCATCTGGCCGAATTTGGTGGTTAGGCAGCTATAACTGATGGTCTTCGGCGGACTCTCCATTGGAATCAATTGGATCCGGGCGTTCCGAGCGAACCACATCATCATTTCGCGCCCAATTTCCAAGTTAAGTTTTAAGAATTTTGTGAATGAATATGTGCAAGGTGACCACAGATAGAGCGCGAAAAAACCCCACTTTCAGAGCTCGAAACTAATGTTGCCAGATTGATTGACAAACAGTGAAGTCAAATAGAAAGGGTATTCCCTAAGCTTTTCAATTACATTTAAATTTTAAAATTTAGAAATTTCAGCAGTTCAGAAACATTTGAACATCGCCTAAATATCGCATAAAAAAGCCCGTTCCATATCCAACATTAACGTTCAAGTCTGTTAATAGTCAGCTGTTTTCGTTATTTATAAAAAAACATTTTTAATTTACTATTTACCAGATCTAATTAAAAACGATTTCCACAGAACAGTTTTGGAGATATTAGAAAATCGCCAGGTTTTTGGAACAAGTGCTATTAAATGTCAAGAAGGGTATATTGTATTCGTGCAAAAGTATGTAACAGCTAGAAGGAAGCGTTTCCGACCCTATAAAGTATATATATTCTTCATCAGGGTCACTAGCCGAGTCGATATAGCCGTGTCCGTCTGTCTGTCTGTCCGTATGAACGCTGAGATCTCGGACACTATAAAAGCTAGAAGATTGACATTTTGCATGCAGATTCTAGGAGTTCCTACGCAGCGCAAGTTCGTTTCAAAAAGGTGCCACGCCCCCTTTAACGCCAAAATCGCTTATATACGATTTTAAAAATTTTTTTATTTCGTAAAAGTAAAAATTTCAGCCGAGTGCTACGCCCCCTCTAACGCCCCCAATCGCCCACTAACGATTTTATAATGTGTCTGGCGCCCACACCTTTAAAGATTTTCGAGAAGTATAAATGCTATTTTGTTGTGTATATTTATACCTATCGAAATGTAGGAGACACTTTTCAAATCAGACCATTCATTAAAAAGTTATACGCAATCAAAAAAATATATATCCATTTCCCTCGCACTGCCTTTAGCCGAGTGAGGGGTATTAGATAGTCGGGACACGAACCCGACTATAGAGTTCTCTCTTGTTTTTTCGTGGTGAATTTAGAGTTCCCCCAAAAACCTATCGCCTAACTATTGCTTTAAAAAGTCCGTCAAAGTTCCGGATGGCGAAGGATTTCTGTGGGAAGGTATTTTTATACAATTCGTTCGAGGTAAATTCTACCATCTGCATCTCTGCGAAACTGTTGGCGCAGAGCACAAACTGAAAATAATTTAAACTCAGCTGAAATCAATTAGCCGCAAAGAATTCCCATATAAAATAGTGTTAGTAAGAAAGATAATATTTCGGCGGTGAGGTTCATATATTTGGAGTTTTACTCATTTCGGTAATACTCTAGTTAAACCCGTTACTCGTAGAGTAAAAGGGTATATTGTATTCGTGCAAAAGTATGTAACAGCTAGAAGGAAGCGTTTCCGACCCCATAAAGTATATATGTTCTTGATCAGAGTCACTAGCCGAGTCGATCTAGCCATGTCCGTCTGTCCGTCCGTATGAACGCTGAGATCTCGGAAACTACAAAAGCTAGAAGGTTGAGATTTTCCACACGTATTCTCCTACCCAGCGCAAGATCTATCTCCCTCGCACTCCCTTTAGCTGAGCTACGATTGAGGATGGTAAACTAGAGTATTAACTTCATTTCAAATTGAGCTTTATAACAATGTAATTGCTTTGTTCATGTAGTGAATCATTGCCTACGAAAACAAAAGTATGGAATTCTGCAATCTATAATGTGGTCTTAAAATCCAATTTATCAACTATATGCAAAACTGCTTTGGTAAAAAGCGTTTGATGAATTTCCTGGTTCATTTTCTTGACGGTAAAATAACTCAAGTTATCAAAATAAAAAGAATTGAAAATCAATAAATCCCATTGAAATTCAAATTTCCACAAACATGTGATAAATATAAAAAAAGTGTAATCCCGAAGCCAAGTCTTGCCGTGAAATGATAGATTTGCATATGTTGTTTCGAACATGGGTCTCTGTTTCCAATTAATCATGATATCCTAGACCCTATTTGAAGGCTGTTTTTGGCGGCTGCCCTTTCCAGTAGAAATCCCCAGTCGAATGTTACTGCCTTATCTGTGTACTTGGAAATCGGCGATTACCAAAATGAAAGCGTCCACAATTCGTCAAAGATAGGTTTATTTGTAATGCCCACACTCGCAATAAGTTGTCCACATTGTTTATTAACAATTTGCAATCGGGTTTCGTTTATTGTTTATTCATACATGTGTTGTACAGTTATAATTATATTACAATTAGGACTAGATTAAATATACAGACGTACATCAAGATTGTTTTACCGATTACTTTCTAGCACAAAACGAATAACTCGGGGGCATCCTAAAACTTAGCTAATAATACTACAGACGAGTGGTGATGGTGGTGGTGTGGAGGGGTTTACGCTAGGGGTTCTACTTGGTATAGTTCTTGTAAAGTTTTTAATATTTTAGTTTTGGATTTTCCTTTTGATTCAGTTTGTATTCGTATTTTGTCAATTGCTCTGCGTGCATTTAAGTAAGTTTGATTTTTTAAATAACCCTGAGTTTAGTTTATGCTAGTCCAATAAACTTTAGCTGCGGCAATGCGAAATGTTAGTTTAAGTATTTACAGCCCCTAGATGAATATGGCACCTCGATTCCACAAGTTCCTAGCGTTTGATTACAGATTTTGTTTGGATTTACACTCTCAATTTGCTACGTGTGTGACATAATATTTATTTAATTATTGTATTCCCTTATTTAGTTTATTTCTTTATGATCTTCTGTGCATTTTCTATTAATTTATCACAACAAAATGCGTCAATATTTTGGCGGCAACAACAACAATAGCATAACAATAACAACTAACAGCGAAGAAAGCCGTTCAACTTTGTTTGGTCGCAGGAGCTGTTAGTGTTAAAGTGGTTGAAGTTGCCGAAGTTGCTCCTGTGGTCAGGTCATTTCCGCCCAGATCGCTGCCCTGCGGCTTCATCTGCAGCTCCGGCGGCTGTTGTTGCTGCTGCGGTGGCTTCTCGCTGATCACGGGCGTGGAATGCTGCGTCAGAATGTCCGCCGGAATGAGACCCTCCTTCACCCGCTTCTTCTGCTTCATGCGGCGGTTCTGGAACCAGATCTTGACCTGCAAGAAAAAGGGGAAAATTCATAAGTCAAAAGTTTTTTTCATAATCTGTGTAAGAATTGTACTTCGTTTTTTTAAAAGGTGTCAATATTTTGTAACTATTTTGCTTTATTGCAAAAAATGTATTCTTTCTTAAGTGTTCTTAAATTTTTTAAATTGGATCGCTGAAGTTGTTATAACAAGATCTAACTTTTCTTTCCTGTTCAATAAAATTTAAGTTTAATATAATATATAAATAGGTAATCTTCTGAAGAAATGGGTTTCATTTATACTTTTGTTTCGTTAATATACTTACACAGAGAAAATTATACAACGTTTTAGGTGCCATTTTCATATAAAAACGTTTTAAAAATAAAAATGAAAACGTTTTAAAAATGCAAAGTAAAACAAATTTGTATGAAGCGTTTTACTTTTTAAAATGTTTCACCCCTTATTTTGCACCTAAAACTTTTTAAAAATTTTCTGTGTATTATAATAAAAATTAGAAACAAATTAATATTAACTTTAAAACATTTACAAATATTCTTTCGTTATGTTTAGACGAATTTTTTTGACCTTAATGCCCGCACTACCCTAAATTGAAATTCATTAGCTGACTGCTGAAAGACAAATCCGAAACAAACTTTTCTGTTTCAGTAATTGTTCAATTAATATACTGTAGTTATATTCACAAATTAGGCTTCTTAATAATCATATTTTAACTTCCATTACATTGTTTCCAATTGAAATTATTATCAACACACGTTTTCTTACCTGAGTTTCGTTTAGCTGAAGCGTATTGGCGATTTCGATGCGTCGCGCCCTCGTCAAGTAGCGATTGAAGTGAAACTCCTTTTCCAGCTCGGTCAGCTGCTTGTTGGTGAAGTTCGTCCGGCCGGAGTTGTTGGTGTTGCTGGAGAGGCTGCAGCTGCTCAGTCCGGATCCGGATCCGTTGCCCAGACCTACGCCCACACCCATTCCGTTGGGATGGACACTACCCGCCGTCGCATTGTTGGCCATCAACAGGGAGTTCTGCACGGCCAGGACGCCCCCGATCCCAGAGGATCCGTTGCCCCCAACGCCCACAGGACCGCTCACGACGCCGCTGCCCCCGCCTCCTCCTCCCCGGCACATGTCCAGCTGTCCATTCATCTGGTAGTCGTGTATGCTGGCAATCCCGCTGGCAGGTAGTTTCGGTGCTGGAAAGGAAAGGAAAAAGGAGGGTTGTGAGACACACTGTACAAAAAAAATAAAGTATTTTATTTTAGTATATAAAACTCCTCATCTCACATTCCTCCTAATCATTAGAAAAATGTTTGTCTTTTAACGTTAGCCTATTGGCGGCCAGTCATTGATGAAGGTCCTTACCAAAATATATGCAGAATAAGTTTTTTGGTGACTAAAAAACTAATATGATAAATCTAATTCCTTTGATCAAAATTACTTAAAGCATGTTCCAAAAAGTTAACATTTTAAAGCTATATTAAAGTAAGGGACTAGGCTTTATAGCAACTCATCAAAATGATTACAGAATTAAATTTTAAATAACTGCAAAGTTTTCACATGATTTCTTCAGTGTAATATTGAGTTTTGTGTTTGTCTTTGTTGTGGTTTGAGGCAAAGGGAGTGAGGTTCAGGTGAGCCGGACGATCCCTTAACGTTGATCTTTAGCTGTCGCAGCTAATCATTGTGAGAGTTTCGACCTCGCCGGCTCATCCTACCCTCTTCCCCAAACTCTCTCTTTCCCGTTTGACTTTTGGCTTGTTTGCGTGATTTTGCATTTTATTCATAATTTGACATGCGCCCCGTGGCTAAAGCCGACGATGATGAAAATAATTCCTTTTGGCCGTTTGCCTTTCCATAGAAGGATTTAATGCGCTCAATAGGTTTGTTTGGAAATATTGGGATTATCCTGGCAGCGGGCATTCGGTTCCTCAACTCTGATTCTCTGATTCCAATTTTAACTCTCACTTTGTTTTGTGGGAGGTTCAAGAATTATTATATCTGTGGGTTTGTCTGGGCTTAGGATTGGTTGTTAGTCCGGAAATTTTCTTGAAGATATAATGAGAGTGTGTTGGGAAAGCGGATAATTGCAATTTTTCTTTGGGTTACCAATTTACAGGTGTTTTAAGAGTTCAGAGTTAAGAATCTTATGAAATAATTGAAAACGTACAGACTGCTCTACTTATAACTGATATTCATAAAATAACTAGAAATACGATCTTGAAAATTTTAGTTTTCTTAGTTGTTTAATTTATGGAGCCACCAGTAGTTGGGTGTATAAATCGCTGGCCCTGGAAGCTCATAAAAAACCTTTTAACACAATCATAAATCTTAAGGAACATTTCTACAGCACAAATCAATTAATAAGCATTTTCATATGACTCGATGATGACGGCGATCGAGTTGAAAGGTGCCGATCGGTGGCAATATTAATATAAACTGAAACTCACGTTTAGTTATTGAGTTGGTTTAACAGTTTTTAGGCAATTGGCCACTGCTAGTGCAATAAATCAAACCAGAAGCCACGGGCAATAAATAAGTTTTACAGAGCCGAATGAGTGATGAATTTATGACTGCTGCTCTAAGTGCTACTGATACCCAAATTGGCATCCAGCCGAAATATCCGCACAGTAGCTGGCGCGCACCTTTCGGGGATTTGGGAATTGTTTGCGCGGATCGATCGATAAGTGCCAAGTCGGGCTGGCAGCTCAGCTCTGCTATCGTAATGCACACAGGAATGTCTAAGAAAACAAGCCCCAGGATTACCGTGCCGAGTGGCCTGGCTGCATTTGAATTTTCCCGCAAACAGGCAAACAAAACTCAGCAAACGCGACGGCAGTTGCACCACCAGTCACAGTCGCAATCATAATCACCTTCGCGTTCCCATTCACGGTAGCAGTAACAGCAGCCAAGACAGTGACAGTTGGGAGTTACTGCATTCCGGTTGGGCTATCAATACGCCGCCGCCAATCGTTGAACAGTGGTCTGTGCATTGTTTATTTGTGTTACACTTCACTACAATCTTTTAAAATAAATCACTACCTAATTTTAATAAAAAACAAAAAGATTTATTTTTACGAAGTTAAAGTAATACACTACTCTTTGATAATTAGGATTATATATCAGGTTACAATAATGTGTCCCTACTTGATTTTTTGGCTTCTGAACTAAATAGATTCACCTAAAGAGAACACCGGTTTTCTATCCATCTGCAACCATTATAATTATTTTACTTTCTTTTAAGGGTTGAAAGTTTGTAGTTTTCTTTAATAGATATATTATATTCGTAAAAATATTTCAATTAATTTTTTAGATTTAAAACGAAACCAAAAAGTTCCTTTTGAGCCACCTGACCACCTAAACCAAAAAACGTCAAATTTGAAAAATGTATAAACATGATATACCTATTACACTTTTTAACACTTTTAAATAATGAAAATAAGTAATATTTCCTTGGCACAAAGCTTGAAACCTTGTCCTGCTCACATCCCTGGTTTCACTGTGGCACGGTGCGGCCTCTGTTAGTGGCACGGCTGCCTCGGTCGCTGCTGGTGTCGCTCGGGTTGTCAAACATGTCGCGGCCAGTTGGCGGCACTGTCGCTTTTGTCCGGCGCCAAACGATATCTACTTTGTAATATTAGTTTTAGAGAGCATTATCGAGGGATCGCTTCCACTTCAGTGCTCCGAATGCCGGGTTCGATGAGGTGAGAGGTGGGCGGAGCGGCGGAAAGTAGGGAAACTCCGCGGCTAACGGAGCCAGAGAGCCAGAGCCACCACCCCTCCCTGCTGAAGGCCATCCCAGGAGGGGGTGGGTGGGACGGTGGGCTGGCACCGTGGCGCTTAGGTGACACTGTTGACAATCAATGTAAACAACCAGAGTCGCTGCTGCAGAATTTACCAAGGGTCGGATGAGCCGGCAGGGGAAAAGGGGACTAAGTGCAACAGCTTGGGGCGCCACACAGAGTCAATGTAATTTGATAACATCTCAACTAGCGGTAATTACAATTGCAGGTTTAACCCAGTCAACTGTTTGTTGACTTTTGCATATCTTGATTGGGAAAAGTCCATGAAAGATTCACAATTAACTTGGATTTTCTTACCAGATAATAAGGAGAGAACTTAAAGGAACGAATAAAGCTTTATTTTATAAATACTTTAAAGCAATTGTATGGTAAATTGTAAAGATTTCGTGATATGTATATGATCAATACATCATAATAAATTTAAAAAAACCATTGTTTTCCTTTCCAAAGGGTCAAGGATTAACTTGTAGTCTTCGATTTACCTCTTATCTACTGCCCATTTAATTTGACTCGCATGGGTCTAGTCATTGTCCTTGAATTCCACGCTTCAAGTACAGTTCCCGGAGGCCGTGAATCATCCGCTGGAGAACGGCCATTTTGATATGATATAATGATATTATCATTTCTATTATGCAGGCGCCACTGCCACTTTACGGAGATCCCCACTCGCCCACAATCACACACTCGCTGGCAATCTGTGTGCCCGGGTGGCATTACATGGGGTCCGTTTTGGGGCGATTAAGTGGGCCTGAGGCTAGAGACCCGTAGACTGTAGAGCGAAGACTGGAGACCCGAGAACCGAGACCGGAGTGCGTGGAACGCCGTCTGGCCGGCGGCTCAATTGATAATAATATTTAATTCGAGTGCAAATAGAAAATTATATTTCAATTAAAAGTAAATTGTTTTAATTGTTGATTAAACAGAACATCAACATCAACGTCATGTGGCGAAACTTTCGAGAACCGATTCTGTTGCGCCTGCCCCTAATCGGGGGGCCATAAAAGTGCACGAAAAGCTGACCAAAATATGCTGACGATCGGTGGCTTTGGTGACGAAGTGATTGATCACCTGCGGGTAATTTATGGCCCCCAATCGGAAAGGGGCGAAAGAGCTAATATAGACCATAATATTTTGCAATCAACAGAGGCTGGATTATTTGCCTCGGACGGGACAGATGTTCAACTCCACTGGCCAGAGGTCAGTCGGCACTAATTGAGTTGGCAGTTGGCAGTCTCAATCTCTGCCGAAAACCCTTTTTCGGGGGAGGGTTGGACCCAGCTAATTAGGCACAGTCAACACTCTTTGGCATTTCGGAGTCCGAAGTATGGACCCTCGGAATCGGACTCGAGCTCTGACTTGACTAAACTGCCATAATCCCGTCGAAAATCCACGAGCCATGTCCATTCATTCTGTCAGTTTTATTGGCCGCCTGTCAACCCGTGACTTTTTCCACATGTCATGCGATGATGCAGTCGTATCTCGGTATCTACATTTCAAACACGAATCGTGAAATGCACAAAAACCGAATTCCCATAGTTGTATCTACAGATCATCGTTCCCCAAAAAATATCCAACTCCCTGCCACAAAGGTGAGGTGAAGTTTTCCAGCTTAATTGAAAGTTTTGTATGGGCATAGCAGACGTCCCGCGGCTTATTAGTCACGATGTCTAACACACATGGAAATTGTTCGACAAAGGGCTCGAAGTTTTTGAAAGAAATCCCAAAAAAAGAAACCAAACTGGCAGCCTGTCTGAGTCAGATATTAACCTTCTTTCGGGGCATTGGAAAATGTCCCACCTGGCGCCCGAGCAACCAATTCTTAATCTTGTTAACTGTCTCTTCTGTCTCCCCGGAAGAAGTTTTCAATTCCTTATCAAACATCTCAATCGGTTTGTTTGCCTTTCGGAAAATTATGTCGCCGTCACACACAACACCACACTAAACTCGATTTAAATATTTACACAGATACTCGAATGCACATATTTGTGTTATCTTAATAGCAACGTTTTGGCTACTGTTTTCTGTTTATTCCACTTTTATTTTCTATTCTATAGATTACGCTGAATTCCGGTAGCCATCTGATAGACCCGAAAATCAAAATTGTCGACATTATTTGTACTACATATTTTTTGCCGATAAGAAATTGCCCAACATAGCGACACGAAGTGTGTTTGGGGGAGAAAATTAAATTACACTCAAAAAAAAATTTTAGAAAATCGCCTATGGATTTGCTTTACTGGCGATTTTTTTCTATATTTCTGGAATATTTCTTGAATTTAATGAATTTTGATTAATTGGAAGAAAATTTTCTTTACCAGTAGAAAATTTTTTTATTTTAAAGAAAAAAATCGCCAGTGAAGCAAATCCATAGGCGATTTTCTAAAATTCAGGGC